ATGAGTTAATGTTGGACTTACGGACTTGGACAGCACTGGGTTGGGATGCTTTCTTGATGTGCGCTTACCCATCATATAAAACTCTCTCTTATACATATGAGTTTCTGTGGATTTGTTTCCCTAGTTTACCCAGATTAACACAATGACCCACTAAAGGGATTGGACAGCTTTTCCACAATACAAATAAGAACCGTGGTACTCTATGGTAGCGGGGGCACATGTGGAAAAGGTTTATGGTGCTCACTTCAGCAGCAACTACACTAAAAGTGGAATGATACAAAGAATATCAGCATGACCCCTGCAGAAGGATGACATGCAAATATGTAAAGCAGTCCATATTTTTTGACAATGTTTTTCTATTTTGTTTCTTTTGAGGGTTTTTTTGTGTTTATTTGTTTTTGTTCTCACTGATTTTGTTTTTTGATTTCATCATAATATAACTGCCAAAGGAAACCAGGTATTCATAACCTGTGGACAAGCAGATAGATATGGGGTCCCACTTAATTCTAACCCCAATCCAAGAGTAGTCAGTTCTTATAACATGGCCCTGATCAATCCTCGCCTTCATGAAGAGATTATTGAAGAAAAGGATGCTACAGCAATGTGTGGTGAAGAAAGTTGATGGTGCCCAGCGGCCAATTGGAATAGTGTCTGGGTTCTTCAAGGCTTGTATTCAAATGAGTAGCCATCTGAGAGAGGTGTCAACCATGTCCACATGGAAGAAGCACACCAGCCTGTGTGATCCAAATATGAAAATACCAAAATCCAGTTATGAGGAAGGGAGAAATATCAGAGCTTCAATTGTGAACACCCAATTTTTAGAAGGCTGTGGAGGATGGTGAGAGGCCAAAACCCATCTGTAGAGTAGCTGGTCAGATTAAGCCTCTGGCAGATCCCCTCTGGTAACAGGTGTGGGACTCAAACAGCTTTACTATCAGATGGATATTATTGTAGACTGATTATGGTAGACCAGATCATGGTATAATATGATACTTGGTCTGATGACCTACCTCTTGACGCAACCTGAACCTGTTCTAAGCTCAAGTATTTCGTGCTTGTTTCATGACAGAAATCTCTCCTCTGGCTTTTAAAATATTGATGGGGGGTTTTCTTTCATACTCTTTGTTTTTATCTTTGTATTATTATTTTCTTGCTATTTTGTTTGTTTTTTATTGTTTCTGTTAGGTTTCCAAGTTTATGAAGCACAGGAAAAAGTGGGTGCATACAGGCAATACTGATGCAATGATTTATCGGGAATGGGTGTGTGTGTGCAGGGTGAGGGGAACTGGGGAGCAGACACTGAATGCAGGAGGGGTACGGAGCACTGGAACTGATTGTAGTGATGTATATAAAACGGTTTTCAAAACATACTGAACTATGGAAATGCATGATATGTGAATATTTTATCAAGAATACTACTGAAAGAAGAAGAAAAAATTATCCAAACAACCATTGATTATCATGGAATGAACAAGGAAGAATTTCTACTTAGGGGGCATTGAGCTTATGTTAATGGTGGTGGAAGAATTGGAAAAGGATAATAATGGTTGTACAACATGAAGAGTATAATCAACTGCACTGAAATATACATGTAGAAGTTGTTGAATCAGGAAAATGATTGTTGTGTATATTTTTGCCACACTTAAAAAAATAATTACATGAATAACAATGAGTACAAGGAAGAAGAAAATGTTCTGAAATTGATTGTGGTAATGATTATACAACTCCTCTTGTTATGATTAAACTATTTAATTGTATAATATGGGAACTAAGTGAAGTGTCAACAGAACTGTTAAAAAAAAAAAGATGTACAGTCTCTGAAATCCTATGGAGAAAAAAGAAAGACAGTAATCTTTCTTATGTAATCCTAAGGAAGAAATGGTCAATTTTTGTCATCCGCCAAAGCTTAAACTGAGTCATCTAAGAGTTGGGAATTGGAGAACTCACTATCACCCAAAACAAGAACTAGGATTCATTTAGGATCCCTGTGCTAAGAGTGTCCTAGACTTGGGAACCAGCGGGAGAACAGTAACACTGCTGTTGGCAAGAGACAACAAGGAAGTGGGGCAGAGAAATGGTGGCAGCAGAGACACAGAACCAGGAGACTGGTATAAGATGTCTCTGTGGCTGAATGCCTTAGGGCAGGAGGATTACTGGCAGAGTCAGGTTGTTCTGGGCACTTGGCAAAGCTATGTTCCTCTGCCCATAGAGCAAGAGAGATTGCTGGCATAGTGGGGTGGCTCTGGGCACTCACTGGTGGATGTGAAGTGCTTTGTAGCACTTGTCCTATCAGGATGAAGGTTGGAGGAGCCCCCGAGGACTGAAGGCTGAAGGGTTCAGGGGTAGGGTAAAGTCTGACTGTGGGCATGGCCAAGAAGCTGTCCTGATCAAAGAACTATACTCTGAGTTCTTGATCCTGAAATGTACTTCCCCAGGGACTTCTCCTATAAAGATTTACAGCCTCAGAAGCCCTCTGTAGGACTGTTATGAGTTGGGATTGACTCAATAGCAGTGAATTTTAATAACTCCCAGAAACATCAGTATTGTATGTGAATTCTGTGTCCATTACAAAGAACTATTGAATTTGGAAGAGAAGCAGGTGCGGTGGGAGTGACGGCTGGTGTCAAGTTGATAAAACAGTTGGAGAAAGCCAGTATGTGTGACCTTCATTTCATGGGAACCAGCGCTGGGTTGATGCTGTGGGTGATTCTCCCCCTGTGAAGTTAGGCAGAGAAATCAGTTGCTGATGCTACAATTTAAAAAAACAAACAGTTTTATTGACTTCACATCGCATACAATTTAATTGTTCAATCATATTAAGATTTGTGCATATATAACCATAATTAATTTTAGAACATTTTCTCCTCATACTCATTATTGTTAACTCTCCATGCCCCGCCTCATGCACACCTTCCCTGCCCTTATCCAGTTACTACCTCCACAGATTTACCTCTCAGGGCTTCATATACAGAAAATCATGCAAAACAAAATACAATCATAGAAAATCATACAAACCAACCAAACCACAACCCCAAATCCAACAACAACGACTAGACAAACCTCAGTCAAAGAGAAAGCAGAAATTAAAAGCTAAAACAAGTTTAGAATGGGTCATAAAGGAGATCAGATGATCGGGCATTAACTTTTAGCCTAACTAATCTGTCTTTACAATGTTCTTTGTAGGATAGCAAGTCTATTCACATTTCTCAAGTACGGTCAAAGGGGATTCACTGGAGACTTACTCCATGGGGGAACCCTGCAAATGAATTTTGGTTCTGTCCTGTTATCCATTGCTTTCTGCAAACAGGAGCTTCCCAATTTAAGCTCTGATATTATTCTCTCCTTCAGATTCTTTTTATTATTTGCAATCCTTGGATCACATAGGCTGGTGTCCTTCTTCCACGTGGACTTAGATGGCTGCTTGTTTGAAGACAAGCCTTTAGCAACAGAGACATTATTCTTTATGATAGCTGAATACCATCTGATGTCCTCAGTATACACTTTTCTCTAGCACTCATATTTTCAGTGATCTCTTCATGAGGGTGAGCATCCAGCTTCTGCTATTTTTACAAGCTTCACTGATTTTAGGGTGAGTCTACCTGTGTTCTTTGGGTAGAAAGCAACTTTCTAGAGGTCTGGGCCACATCTTCAAAGGTTTGAAACCTTTCAAAAGGATGGACATTTTGTGTAGCTTGTAGTGTGGTCATTTCCCAGACTGTCAAAAATCATCAGGAAAACTACAAAGATGACACTGGGTCCTCTGGGATTATGTTTCTTACAGAAAAGGGTGAAAGAATTAGTTCTGCATTTTCTTTGATATGTGATCAACCGAGTTGAAAAGTGAATTGACACTTAAGCTTAAGTTACCTTTAATGTAGCCTCTGAAATGCTATGGTTAGATATCTTCACAAGACAGTTCACCAAATACAAACCCCTGTTGCCCATCAAATGAATTCCAATTCACCGAAGGCCTTTATGTTACAGGATAGAAATTCTTCATCTAGTGTGTTAATCCAGGTAGACTAGAGAAACAAATTCATAGACACCTATATGTGTATAAGAAAGAGCTTTATATACAAGAGCAATTTAATATTGAAAAAACATCCCAGCCCAGTCCAGATCAAGTCCATAAGTCCAATATTAGCCCATATGTTCAATACCAATCTATAAATTCCTCTTCAGACTCACGCAAAACATGCAATGATACCGAATTCAGGAAGATCACAGGCCAGTGGGTGGAAGGTCTTGTATATCTAGTGGCAACGCAGGCATCTCAGAGCTGGCAGTGGTCTCCACGTGGGTCTTTCAGTTACAGGGCTCAGTGTAACTCCATGTGTCTTCTCAACAGGAATGTCTTGTAGGGAGTGAGTGTGTCTCCCATCTCCAGCGAGTTATTTATGTCCTTAGTGCCTCCAAATAAGGTCACCAAGCTGCAACCTGATTGACAGACTAAACCCCACCCCTTCACTCTTAAGTCTCAAATTGACAACAGATTATGTAACACCCACATCCGGTTTTTGTTTTGGTCAGTAATTTTCAAGGAAGGGATTACTGGACCTTTCTTCGATGGTGCCTCTGGGTGTGCTTAAACTGCCCAACTTTAGGTTAGCAGCCGAGAACTCTGCTCTGTTCAGAGTTTGCTATTACTGTGTAATTCATTAAAAAAAATTATTTTCAAAACAACTTTGCTGCTATGAAGAATTGAAACCCAGACCAAACTCACTGCCATTAAGTCCATGCTGACATATACCAACCCTATAGGAAAGGATAGAACTGCCCCTGTGGGTTTCCAAGACTGTAACTCTTTATGGGAGTAGACAGCCTCTCCTCCCTGGAGCAGCTGGTGGTTTGAGTTGTTGACCTTTAATTAGCAGCACAGTGCATAACCACTATGCCGCTAGGGCTCCTAAAAATCACATTAATTATATATAAATATTTAGGTGGTTCTTTTTTCCCCTTTTTATTTATCTGTGATAACTTATATTAATACCATTTAGTAAATTGAGAACGTAGGTGTTCTGAGCCTCTTTCCAAATGTGAAGATCTTTATCTGAACTATATTTGGTTAAAATTCATAATGATATATATATATCGAACTCTTGCAACATATAACACATGAAAGTTATTCTAAGGACAATTGTACTTGTATGTATACTCTTTAAATTTATTTTTCTCAGAATGTCTAAAGCTATCCACAGCGATTTGTTTGAAGTGTCCTTGTGGATCCTTGATCTGGTTAGTGGCACTGACAACTATGCTGCCTATCCAAACTAGAATCCATGTTTCGCCAAGTCTGATGCATTACACTAAAAAGTATTTAAGTCATTTGTTCTTCTTGGCTCT